CAATAGCCGACTTGCGAATTACGCATCAATAGTCACATACAAAGGAATCAAGACGAGGCGCCGTGCTTTTTTGTGAAAAATCTATTGTCTTTAGCACGGCGCCTCGTCTTGATTCCTTTGTATGTGACTATTGATGCGTAATTCGCAAGTCGGCTAGATGCCCCTCAAAGTTTTAGAGTGGCTCATCACAACTTCAAGAAGCCAATCCGAAGCAAAATTTATTTTTTCCGCGGAAAATTTGGTGAATGTAGTTGCTTGAAAAATAAAAAAAGCTTGTATTCACGGAGCTAACATCTTTGAATATTGGAAAATGTCGCCAGTCAGTAAATTTGTTAATGTYSGTAGTCAGCAAATTTTGTTCAAATTTGTCGCTAGTCAGTTGTTATTTTGTCCATTGTCGCTAGTCGGTTAACCCCATTCAGACCCTGTAATATAAATCAGCTAGTCAAATGCTTAGTTTGGGTTGCCTGTGGTTTGATAGACTTCACAATAGGCATTGCGCAACGCATCCTCGGGAACCCAGGGGTAATCTTCTGTCGTTCGTTCCTGGGAGTGAGGAACGAACGACAGAAGATTACCCCTGGGTTCCCGAGGATGTGCGAAACGTCACGATAAGTTAGTTTCACGATAGGTCTAAATTCGTGGCATCTCTCCAAATTCACTTTCAAATATATTGGAAGTAAAAAACATAATTTGCTTACATATATAATTATATGATAAACAGAATATTTATTTACATTTGAACATACGAATTTTTTATTCTTTGTCGTGTTAAAAATTGCGCCAATATCCTCTATATAACACATATTATTAGTTTTTTAATCAAGTTATAGCACAAATTAGTGTTTGAATTCGCATTTAACATTTATTCTAGTGGAAGAAAACTTCGTGGGATGTATTCTTATAATCCAAAAGCCGAGAAGATGATTATGCCACGATAGTCACAATAGGATATAATAAATGGCTAGGCTGCCTGCGAGGATCCCTTTGCAACGATATCTGTACATTGCGTGACATTGCGTGACATTGCGTGACTCGCTTGGAGGAAAAATACTATGGCCGAAAATCGACAGCATACTCCATACGTTCATCCTAATTCTGGGTTCGTCGATGGTGTAATTCACATACCAGGAGTTACTAAAGAGTTTCTGAGTCAAATAAAAGATCTTCCAGTCAAAGCTGAGGATTTGTTTGTTGCTTCGTATCCTAAATCAGGTAAGCTTATAAAAAGGCCGCAGTGCCGAAACGTAAGTAGAAATACTAGTTGCAAGTTGTGTGCCTTTTTCTTCAATTTCTTCAATTTATTTTTTTAACTTTAAGACTTTCTGTATAATTCAGTCTATGAACCAAGATACAATAACTGAATGTACACAATCAAATGTTGGAACTTTGTTTCTTCACCACAATCGCTGTATTACGGTTAGGTTTCTTTGTATTTAGGATATTGCTTCGCTTCTGTTTTGACATTCTTTGTGCACAGGTAGCCCAAACTTATTACCAGACTTAGTTGATCTAGTTCAAGTAGTAGCCCTTGAAAACCACTAAGAAAGTTAGAGTGATTATTTAAGAATACTTTGGTGTAGTAATTTGAGCATAAAACTGTCTGGGGTGATTTTGATTTTGATTTTGAGTGTGTACATAACTATATTTCAGGGATTATATTTAAAAGGGAGCCTGAGGGAGCTATCTTCAAAGTTTTCAAAATCACTTCAGACATAAACTTTAGGCTCAGACTACTATACACCTTTATCATAATGGCCGCCATCTAATTAACATAAATTTTTAAAATTTAGAATTTTAGTCAATTAAAAGTAAACTAACAGCTGATAGGAACCTGTGCTAATAACAACATGTAAAMGTTTGAAATGAAAATATTAAATTCTGGTGAAGTTATAAGGATTTAAAATATATCATAACACCAGAACGAGGCTATAAAGGYCTTGRCTGAAAATTRCATACATTTCTTTGTATTTTCATTTCGCCATAACTTTGCTCGCATTTTATCCAGGGCTGTAAAACTYTCCAAAAATGTTTATTTTTGGTAGTTCATTCACATGACAGTGACAAAGTTTTCACATATTTCATATTCAGAAACAAATAGACAGACAGCCATTGGTGGAAAATTACATACATTTCTTTGTATTTTTATTTCACCGTAACTTTTTTTTCTATTTTGTGCAGAGTTCTAAAACTTTCCAAAAACATTTATTTCTGATAGTTCTTTGATGTTACAGTGACAAAATATTCATATCTATCTTATTTTGGAAAAACACAATGTTGCCGCCATTATGATAAAGGTGTATTAAGCAAAGTATTCTTGAATAATCATTCTTACTTTATCGAGTGGTTTTTGAAAATCACTTACAATTTTCAGTTGCTTTTCGAAGGCATTTTTCAAACCTACATTAAGTTAAAATTAAAAGTTAGATACCGTCACAGGCAACCCAAGCTAATTACAACGTTTATGTGATCTTTAACGGCTAAAATGCGAATTTTATAAATTTGTGTTTTTATGAATAACTCATTAACATCTGACAGGTTTGGGCTACCTGTGGTCTGTGCTTCCGTAATAGCAGGATACATGCTTCCGACATAAACTGGAAGTAACTTAGGGAATTAAAAATATTCTTTTTGAATTGAACAAGAAGCTAGAAAATGTCATTTTCCTACACACAAACGATTTGTCTTAAATTCAGGTGATTAAGGGAATCCCTCGATAATTTGCCATCTAAACTCCTTCAGGGCCCTTAGGGCTCGTTTCCATTCCTTTGTTTTCTAATGTTTTCAATTCAATTCCGGCTTAATGTCGTAAGCATCATTCTATAACACTCCATTATACACCTCTGGGAATACATACAGAAGCAACACAAACGTTAATATGCGACTTTGTTTATCCTCTTGCCCCTTAAAAAACTAAATTGAGTTCATTTTAGTTTTTAAAGGAGTAAGAAGATAAATGTATTATCATATAATTATCTATAAAACACCTAAATTTTTCTCTTTCAATGAGTTATTATTTTTTTACTAGTGAAAAATACTATGTTATGTTATGTTGTTTTCACTAGTGAAAATAACCCCTTTGAGGTTTCTCTATACATTGGAAGTAAAATAAAGGATTTTATACATGTAATTTGCTTTCATATACAATAAACTGGATACCATGGGAAAGCCTGGAGGGATACATTATTGAGATACCTTGGGATACCATAGCACACTGGAATACACTGGGACACATTGGGATACCATGGGATACTCTGGGATACATTGGGACACACCTGAGATACATTGGTATACCATGGGATACACTGGGATACATTATTGAGATACATTGGGATACCATGG